CTAGCTCTCCTCCTTAGCAATTCATTTCCCCTTAGCTCACACTTGCTATTTTTCTCCTTCTCTGTCAGTATGAGAAATATGCAGCATGCTCTGTGTAGAAGGCGAGGCATTTTACTCAAATCCCTAATACAAATGCTTAATCTCTTCCTGGTAAATAAGAGATTCAATTACGTTTATCAAGCTGGGTGGAAGATCTTTATTTTAATGCACCACAAGCTCTCTCTATAACGCCTTGGATTTTCATAATACTGTCAGATATTAAACAATCTGCTTGGGAATGCCTTCAAAAAGCAGTTGCTTATTCTTATGGATTAGCTTCCTTTTACAAATGGAAAAGGTTTAGTTTACTTATATGCACTGATAGGAGAAGACAGGATTAGTCTGGACAGACAGTCTAACCTTCACCTTGTGAGTCTCATTATAATTAGGCAAGAAAACTAGATATCGGATAGATTCATTCGTAGAAAGTGTTAGCTGACTCTTGGGCTTCTTGGGGAAACAACTTAAAGGCTGATATATGCCAGTGAGATTTAAATGCTCTGGGCAGAAGGGTGACTGGAAGCAAGTATGAAGAATGCAGCAAGCGGGTAGACAGCAGATACACAAAGTGCCTCATTACAACAGGTCTCTCGAGAGCTATTAGATAGCTTTTCCTTCTGGCAAACGATGACACTACGTGGTGCGGGTCCCAAATATGCCTTGAGCTTAGTGCAACATCTTGAACACCGACTGGCTTTTCTCTTTGGCTCTGTCAGAAGCAGTCATCCAGAAATAATTGGTGTCAACAGCCTGTCCTATTGAGCTGGTTTTTGGCATTGTCTTGCTTATCCAAACAATATTAAGACAGGAAAGAGGATAAAGGTATCTCTGAGTAGGATACAGAGTTAGTTACCAAGCATGGATTCAGCATGGGACAGCTGAAATCTTCCTTGAGCAAATCACTGAGTCATTCTGTGCCTGAGTAACTTTATCTTAAAATAGAGTTCCTAATAGAAACCCATTCAAACATGAGCGTTAGGCATACCTAGAACTAAGGAAGTTCCACTACAGTAAAGCAGTAAGATCTTTAACTGACTTCAGCTGGTATATGATACTCCAGTCTGTAACTGTTACCTTTCAGAAAATTGATAAAGTCAGGCAGAGAAATTTTGCAAGTAAGACTGAAGAAGCTTTGTGAAAACCATTTGCAGACTCTGATGGGTAGAAAAGCAAGAAATATTCCTGGATTAATCTTTCCTCTTTCCTATGCCATGGATTTTCAAGACATTAAAGCCTGGCAAAGGAAAATATTCATTTACACAATACATAATTTCGCCTTGGACTCGGCAGAGCAAAATTTAGAAGGAAGAGATATTTATTTGGATAGTAAACAGATTTTAAGTATTTGGGATTTGAATAATCTTACAGAGTATGTGAAACCTCAAAAACATAAGACAATAAATCTGAATGAACATTAACTGTGGAAACTAGAAAACTGAATTCCCTGCGCTGTGAGGAAGAGAGATTGGTGATCTGCTTAGCCTCAACCTGTGTAAATTAAAAGTCATCTATATGATGCTGGCAGCTCTCAACTCTTTGCAGCAGAGACTATCTGCTCCACTCAAGATGGAAATCTTGGCTGTTGCTCTCGACAGAAAATACTGAACAGAGAGGACGGCAGGGTGTCATGTGTGTCCCTCAAAGATTTCAGTCAGGACACATCAATTGACAGGTCGGTGCTGTCCACTGGATGTGGCTTTGAGGGGAAAATCACGGCACTCCACTGTGTTCTTCAATCCCATCTAACCACTTTCTGCTCCCTGTTCTGTGCTGCTATGGAGTCCTGATCGCAGAAAGGTTTTACATGTGTTGATAGATGGCAAGCCACTGGGAAATTTCTTGTTCTGCTAGTGCTTTTTAGATAGACAGATACATTCAGCTTCCGTGGCTGCAGCTCTTTTACCAGTGCCAAGCTCACTTTAAATAATAGAAAAATATGGGCTGCTTAAATCTGCTGCATTCCTTTTTTTTTTTTTTTTTTTTTTTTCTTCTTCTTCCTAGAGCTCCTTCTGTGATTTTTGAGACTTGTCAGTCCAAATGTCCATCAAGATGACAAGTGCCCATGACCCTAGTTGGAACAAGGGAACAGGGCCGTTTTCGTGCAGAAATTCTCTGAGTGAGCCAAACTGATTTTGTTTTTTCTGGCAAATGTGACAGCAGCGGAGGTGTGGCTGGGACCAGGCTTGCCTGATGCTGAGGTCTGAGTGCTTTTCAGTCACTGGACAGAGAGGTGTCCATTAGCATCTGTTTGATGATAGAAAAAAGGATGAAAATGAGACCAAAACTTCATTATTTTAACCTCTGTCTCTCACAGGCAGGAGCGCTGTGCTACAAAACCGACTATCCATGTCTATCCAGACATTGTCACCAGCATGGTGACTTATTTATCCTCATTTTACCAATTTGGATTATATTGTTACTACAGAATTCCTCTGGAATTAAATGACTAATCCATTTGTGTCAGTCTATCTGTAGCTCCACAACAACCCCTTGCTTGACACCATGAAACCTCAACAAATCTAGAATTACTGGAGAGACCCTGTGTAAATCTCCCAGCTCCAAAGGGAAGATGGCACAAATGACCTTACAGGTTCAGGTTGTTAAATAATTATACAGATAGGGTTGGGCAGCAAGTGTGTGCAGTGAAGATTTTATATCTTGCTAGTTTTGCTGTTTTGCTCAATTTAATGGGTGTTTCTCAAAATGTTTCAGAGTTCAGGTTTTGTTCAGATAAATGTCCCGTGTATTTGAACCCCACGAGACTGAATACCTCGGCCATGAGTCTCATGTGACTTTCTTATGAGATTTCCAGCTTTTCTGCTTCTGGTCTTGGCTTGTAGTACCATGAGAATATTTTTTTTCATGGTATTTCAACACTTCTAGTTTCACATTCGAGACATTAAATCTTTTCTTACATTTTTTTTGTTAAGGGATGGGGGTGGGTTTCTTATTTAAACTAAAAATGGGACAATGCTACAGATTTCCTGTCAGTGAGTGCATGCTTATGGAAACAAGGATCTGGGTCCAGGAATTTTATTTGAATTCCTCTCTCATTTTAACCTGTTTGGGACGTTGTGTGTCTTTTTTATGCAGCATTGACGTGGGAGAACAAATAACTATTTGCTTCAGCTAATCAGCTAAGCTAGATATTTTGTTTTCCAAGTATCAGAAGAGGTAGACAGTGCCATTCACTGACCCACCAAACACAACAAAAACATAATGGTCTGGAAAACGCTGTGCTTCCAAATTCAAGTGTCTTGGCAGCGAATTCAGGAGCACTGCAGGCTGAGTTGGGAACTGTTAGCTTCATTTTCCCTATAATTGCATACTCATTTGTTTGAAGGCTGTAAGAATCAAGCCCTCTGTTTGATGTGACATGTTAGCACCTGAAAACACCTATAATACATATATCTGAGGCAGCAAGTGCTTCAAGAAAGATCTACCAGCACACATGAAACTTTAATTGTTCTTGGTTATTACATCAGAAAAAAGATGCCAGCTTTACCAGGCCTTTTAAACTTTTCTTGTTTTCTAACATAGCTCCATCAGGCTGGTGTTGTCTGAGTAAATGCTAGTGAATATGCCCAAAGACATGACTCTTACTTCTACAGATTTAAATTTTGATCCTGCAAGATTCCTAGGTGTACTGATATTACACGATCATTTTAATGCACCGAGAACAAGACAAAATGAAGGGGGGAAATTAGCTGGTTTGTTCTGCCTCTGTGAATTGTCTACACAAAGCACAGGCTTAGATCCATCCATTCTCTTCTTTCGCTTTGAGCTCAATGTTTATTTAGAGTGGCAATGCTTGATTAGCATCCTGGCCATGTATAGATGTAAAGTGCATTTACACACTGAGGTTGCTTTCTGCTTCCAGGACTGTGCAAAGCAACAGAATTACACAAACTTCAAGGATCAGATTTTACTTCTGCAAATTGTCCAATAATGTTCTAGCTGCAAATATGTGTTTGCAGTAGGAAAGAAATCTCATTCATGCATAAATAAAAGACTCTGAAGATTGACATTCTCTAGACACTGAGGACTTAATACTGAATGAGAGATGAGTAAACAATGATTCTTCATCAATAATATCAAGGTGTCCTTTCAAGGCTCTATCCTGTAAAAGCTAACCTTATCTTAAATCCTTTCCCTTTTCAAGCCAGTAGATATTCAGCACAGGAGATGACATTGAGACATGAATAAAGTCTCATGTGCTGTTTCAAGAAGCTGAATTCTTACTTGGCAGGCCCAGAAGGAGTTATGTCAAGAGCTGCTTATTTCTAATATTGTACAGAGAATTCCTCCCACTATTTCTTCCAGATGCCGAACAGCTCATTTATTTATTTATTTGGATTAGCTATATTAAAATATAACATGCTTCCAAATGCTTTTCTCCCAAATTCCCAACGGATGGCCCTTTCTCATGGGGGTGTAGGTCCTTAAGTCATTTAACGTGCTTAACTCCCACTGCTCAGAACGAGGGTAAAGTTCCTGACTCCAGGGTACCCAGGATCTCATAGAGAGCTTAGAGCATTTGGTATTGAAGGAGTCAGAAAAGGAATGTAGCATAACACTGGGCAGGGAGACAGCAAAATGCCTGAAGCTTTTCCAGTGACTGTGGCACTGATCTGACTAGCAAGCACCTGAGCAAGGAATTATTGAGTCTTTAAGCAGGTCCCTGCTGGACTCAGAATAAGGAAAACAAATGGACGAATGGAATTGATCTCTTTGAGCCTTATTTTCTGATGACTTGCCTAGTTTTGAATTTTATTAAACCCACATCAAAACGCAGAGACCTCCCAAACAAACCTAGGATACATGCAAATTTTCATTTGACTTTGTTTGGAGATTTGGGAGGTTGATTGTACAAAAAGAGAAAAGTTTCAGCTGGTCTCTGAAGCTAGGTGGATTGCAGCCACTTGGATCAAGTTTCCCTTGGCGATAGAGTTTACCAAAATGCACAGCACAAAAGGAAACTTAGAGTGACTCCAAGCAGGGCAAGAGCCAAGGGTGTGTTTTTGCAATGCCCTGGGAGCTGAAGTGACTGCCTTTCCAGAGAGGTGGAGGACAAGTGGCCTTGTGGGCAGGGCAGAAGACCAATTCCCCACCTGGAGCAGCCCAGGAAAGAGGAGCAATGAGGCTGTCCAGCCGAAGATGCAAATCCAAAGAGCTACCTGTTCTCTTCAACAAGGTATGGAGGACTTCATCAAGCCAGGACCTGAACATGAATCAAAGAGGCAAGACGTGGTAGAAAAACATTATTGTCCACAGTCCCTTAATGAAAAGTGAGCAGAGATCTGTAAACACTGTCCCAAGACCCGAGCCTCCCAACCTCAGCTCTCCTGGCTGTTGAATCGATGATTAGCTTTTCTGGGGGGCAGAACCACAAAATGGCTCTAAATGTGGAGCTGTTTGAAAGTATCCATGCTGAGATCGGCGTGGGGTCTTTGTAGTTTGCTCTTTCTCTCCCATTGCACCGAACTCGGAGCAGTAGGGACTTTGAAACAGGGGAACACAGTGAAAAATAAAGCCTTTAAATGTCAGGCAAATCCCTTGCAGAGGCCAATCTCTTGGAAGACCGTAGGGTGCTCACCATCCACTGAAGACATTGACTGTCTTTAAGGGGCTTCGTTCAGGCTACCAGCACTCAAAGACATCACTCCTCAAAAGCTTTGGCCCTGTTTTACAGTATGCTATTTGCTTCACCTGGATCTTTTCAACTGTTGTAGCATCTACTTCTACTTCCCAATAAAAAGAGCAACATCCCATCAGCAGAGCCGTGAGTTTGCCAGCCTATGCTGCTAGGCACATTCAGTCCTTTAGACATCCTCCCCGTTTTCACTGAGGGAGATGGTGTGTATTTTAATGGTTGGCACTTTACAGTTTTCATGGACGAGATTCCCTGAAGCACCTGCACAGCAGCATTCCTGGAGGAAACCTTTACTTTTGACTTTGGCAGCAGTACAGTCTTTAGAAACTGGATTTTTTGCAGGCGTGCTTTGCACGGCCGAGAATATCTTCCATTCACAGACTCCATCCGACCTGGAAATCCTGTAGAAGGTTTCTCCTGAGCTGACGGGGATACGGACCACACCTTTGCCACTCTCCATGCTTTGGCTCGTGGGATGGTTGAGATTGAAACTTGGAGATTGTTTCTTTGCTGCTTGCTTCCTTGGGAGGCACTGCGCTCTCAGGACGTTTTGGAATGCTTTCTTAAACTCTTGACTTGAGCACGGATAGATTATGGGGTTGATGCAGCTGTTTAAATATCCAAGCCAAAATGTTATTTTAAAAAGTGTGTCCGGGGGTTTGATTGCAGGAAAGAAAGAACCTAAAATGGAAAATACACAGAGTGTTAAGGCAGAGGCAGTAAAAAATTGCAGGTAACCAAAGAAACTTAAACACTGGAAAAAGTAAATAAAATTCTGTTCTGTCTTGAAAAAGTTATGACTTGAAGCCCAATTCCTGTAGGAACAAGTCTTTCAGATGGTATGGTGCTGTATAATTACATGGATGTTCTATCAGAGATCAATTCAAGACATCTATTTTATTATACAAGCATTGTATTCCCATTTACAGGCAGAGAATCAAGTGACAGAGGCAAATTGCTTCCTCTGGGACTTCTAACTCAAGATTAGTCAGCCAAATAACAGTCACATCTCAGAGGTCATCAAAAGAGGTTTCAAATGGCAAGAAAATGGCATCACTTCAGAAGTCAGAGTAAGGGAAAATTAGGATTACTGAGCTGACTGCATTCCAGCTGTTCAGTCTTAAAAATTATAAAGTATTGGGTACTCATCTTCCCTTAAAAACTTTTAAAAAAATCTAACTAACCATATTTTTCTGTCTCATAGAATGCACCTAAAATTCAGAGAAGTTAAAGGTAAGGTTTCTTCTTACGCCAGTGAACACTGGAGGGGGTCTCGTGGGCAGCCATGATATAGATACTGATATATACATTTGCAAGGTTACCTCCCAGAGAAGATTCAGACAGCTAGAATTTAGATGACTCCTTCATAAGGAAAATACTATGTGACTTTTTATTCTATAGGAGGCAGGATAATATTAAAAAAAAATTAAATCTTTTGACAAAGTTTATTCAGCATATCAGTGACAGCCATAAATTGTGCATTCGTTAGTCCTCATTGTCTTGGCACAACAACAGCTAACTACAAGTGACCATGTGAATTGAAAATTAAATAGCATTACTAATATCCTTTTTAAAAAATAGATTATGATATATGATAACATAGGATTTAATTATGAATTATCTGTTGATTTTAAATCTTGGGAACATTTTTCCTAATGCCAATCCTTTGTTTTTTCATTTAACTACAACCTGAGCTCCTTACTGCTTGTATAAGCAAGTTTTTCACTTTAAATGATTTGAATAGGATGTTGGTAAATGCTTAAGAGATTTACTCACAGAGAGATGTTATTATAAAACTACAGAAACATTTAAGATATCAAAGAGTCAACACTGCTGCTTATGGAGAATTGTTTAGAAATTTGTTGCTTTTCTTGAATGATACTGGAAAGTGGCCATTGTAACAAGATCCTGTAATTCTCTTATTTGGTACTTCTTTTGGCTTAGAAATAAAAACAATATTGTCTGAATGTGAATGAACCAGAAGACTAAATTCTGTGTGATGCTGGGGTGGGAATAAGTGATAACAGCACTTCTAAGACCAATTTTGCAAAATTATTCTAGAACCAGGAAAAGAGAAATGTGTTTGCCATATGTTGTCAGTGGGAAAGGCTGTTTCTTGCCTTAGAAGAAAGGAAGAAGAAGAAGAAAAAAAAAAAAAGTGGTTCTATTATACCAGTGTCAGTAATTAGTTTGGGCACAGGAAGAAAAATAATTTCCCAGAAAACATAATTGGCTTCTTTTGGACATTCTAGTCAAGTTTATAGTAAACAGAACTTGTAGCACTGACAATGCTTGTCTTCCTTCTTCCCCCTGGAAAAATCATAAGCATGTGCACGTTGAAAGAAATACTGTGGAAGGTTTAGGCATTGATACATTTGTCATCCTCTGCAGTTTACGTCTGTAAGCAGCTCCTAAGCTCTACAGTGATTGATCTGTTTGTTGGTTGGACCTCCCCTGACTTAGGAAAAGCTAATAATGCAGTCAAAAGGTCTTCTAATTTAATTCTGAGAGCTGCTGAACTTCAATTTGAATCTTTTTCTTCCTGTCTTTGACAAACAAAGCTACAGCAAGTGCAGCAAATGCTTTCAAGCGGCAAAAGCCAGGGAGGAATTCTCAGGGTGTTTTTTGCCTCTGTGAGAACGTATCAAAATATTGCCTGAACCAGAGACACAAATAGTGCAGTGTGATTAATGACCTGCTCGTTCTGCTGAACATGGTCTCTGCTGTGAAAGGCGAAGCAGCATCTCCTTGCCCTGGCACCAGCTCCTGCCCTCTGAGAGGGGCGGATGGGCCCAGAGGACCCGCTGCTGTCAGGGAAGAACTCGGAGATGTGGCAGGGTGAGAAATCTTCCCGTTATCTCTGACCCGGCAGAGCTCCCCGGAGCCCCCGGCTCTCTGGTGGAGCAGCAGAGGAGGGAGAGCGGGTCAGAAGACCCAAAGGCGGTGCAGAACGTGCCCCAGGAGCTCGCACTTTGTATCGGAGCAGCTGAACCTCTGATTCCAACCCCAGCTACAACCTGGGCATCGAGCACGAGGCTCGCTGCCCCCGTGATTTCTTCTGTGTTGCTCCAAGATACCCAGGTGGAACAGTTTCACTATTCGTTTCAATATCAACCCGTTTTTAAGACCAAAAATGTCATGCTAAAGAAAGCAAATGCTGTTTTGCAGTTAAGCAGGCGTATCCACGACCTAGAATTTTTCTCAGCAAATTAATGCTGCTTTCCTTTAGTGGAAAACAACTAAATAACGTTCTCAAAGAACTTTCTGGCTGAAGTCATCAGTAGATGAAAAATAAAGAAAAGCTTCTAAATGCCCAAATCATGCTCAATTTTTTCTTTATTTCCTCATTTAATTGCAGCATATCTACCGCTTTCTCATTTTGTGTTAAGACAAAAGGTGAAACAAATCTCAGTTTAGGGAATCAGCTGTGTGAGGCTGAGTGTAAAAATGGGTAAACAATAACAATTCCTGTTTGCTGCAACTTCTGTCTCTAAATGGAATGCTAGTGCCTTGCCAAAGCCTGTTAAAAATAGAAAATAGCCAGTGTCAGAGTCTGTCTCTTGATTTTTTTTTGTTTTTTTTTTTTTTGGGGGGGTGGGGATCTGCATGTTAATTTATTAATGTAACCTTTTTTGTTCATCAGTGTAGAGACTTGTTGCCTTGGAACAACACACAGTAAGAAGAAAATGAAGTAGCTTTAACAGGATCCAAACTTTGCTATCTGTAGACCCCATCACACGCTGTCTTTAACACTTTCTTTCGAGCGGTGGATACAACTTGGGCTTTAGGACACCAGCTTTGCTTTGCTGTGCATTTGGTTGTGCCAGTCATTGATATTTCATAAGTTTAGACCAGCTGAAGTCTCCAGGCTTCGTTATAACTGTGTGTTGTCCTGTGAATGAAACAGTACAACTGTCAGTAGGAAGAAATATTGTCAGTACCATCTTGAAAGGGTTGAGGGTGGAATTGATAGTCAATGGACCCAATATGTAACAGATCTAGATGTAAAATCAAAGTAGAAATAATTTGGACCCTCTTCTTACTTATGCTGAAAGCTTATTCAACTTCCAGAGCAATATAAATCAAGATCAACAAGTCTAAACCTTGAGCTGCTGAATTATTGTGTAAGGTGCAAAAAAATATTTCACCTCCTGCAGCTTCTCTGTCTAATGAGCAAAATCTTTCTTCATGTTGCAGGACTACTCTGGGAAACTATTGACATGTCAGCATTAACTTCTACAGAAGCATGATGTCCTATTCAAAGGGCCACAGAAAGCACTGCCCTTCTATTGCAGACATCTGGTTACCTCTGTAGTTCAGAAGCTTTCCCTGATCTTCTCTCATGACTACCTGAGTATCTGGCTAAAGGGGAAAAACATCACATTCTCCAAGTCCTTGAGGAATTGTGTTCCTCCCCACAGAATACTAAGAATGTATTATTTTCTTCCAGGCCTTTAATATTCAGTGATGTTGCTGTCACGATTAATATCAGTGGTTGATGTATCTGGTAGTAAGCAGGAGTCGTTTTCAACCAGTGCTGCTAAGGCTGGTGATAAAGTGTTTTATTCAGCGTGCTGAGACATCGAAATGGTCAGCGCCTGGCAGCTCAGGTCAGCGGAGTTCAAAGTAGAAATAAAATATAGGCTTTGTGGGGTTTTTAAAACAATGACCGTAATTAACCGTGAGATTAAACAACGGAGTGGTGAATACTCTCTTCTTTAAGGTAGACAGTACAAGACCGACTGTTTCCCACGTAGCAGCGAGGCCGTACGGAGAAACCGGGTGGGACTGGGGTGAGCGGTTCAGAGGCCACGTCCATTCGAGCCTTGACCACTTGGTAGCTGCCAGTTAGTGTCAGCTCGGGTCTGGACATTCTCCTACTAGCAGCCAGGACTGAGAAACCAGAATTATTATAGCACCTAACTCTCCAGAGCAAGCTTTTCCAATTCTCTCGTTCTAGGCAAGGTGTAATCATAGATTAATAAAGTGCTGCCATCCAGGTATCCTCTAATAGAGCTGGATAGTGAGCAGCAGTTGAGAAGTGAAAACTTTTCTGTCTTAAAACTAATTCTCTATCCTATTCACATGCCTTAATATCTTCCCTGGTACACTGTCAGGAATAAAATGGCAGATAGTGGCAAAACTAATTACAGTTTAGAGGCTTCATCTTGGATTGTGTCCCTGCAGTCTGTGCTGGAGGAACAGTAAAGAAAACTTCAACAGGTCTTTTAATGCCTTTGAATTGTAGATTGACTAAATAATGCTTGAAATCCTGCTTTGTTTTCAAAAGGTTGAGGACACTCGAGTGTCAGTAGCACAATTCAATTGCTTGGTATATGAAAATTAAATAAAATAAAATATACTATTAGCCTCCTGAGATCCTTTGCCATTACATATTTTACCACTCACTCCTGAAAATGTCAGGACTGAATTCCCTCCCCTGATCATTTGTTTTCCTGTTTGTCAACTGGAAGTTTCTTCAGATCTGAGAGATAGGTTTTCCATGTACCTCATGGTGAGTAAGTGCCAATTCAGTCACAAAGATGTAATTTGACTTTGTCATTTGTCAGAAGTTAGAGCTGCTTGATTATAGGTTGTTTAAAAACCAGTACTGATGTCGTGCGTTGTTTCACTGACGGACATCAAAGGGATATAGAAGCTGCCAGACTACAGAAATTGCG